GGGAGGTCAAGCTAAGGGCCAGGATCTTAACGATTCCCAATCTCCTTCCCTCCAGCACAAGGGATTAAACCAGACACCGTATGCAAAGCCCCTCTCGTGTTACACCAGCTCATATGCTGTGGTGGTTAAGTTTGTATGGCAACTTGGCTGGGCCACCGGGCACTCAAATACACAGTCAAACATGATCCTGGATGTTTCTGGGGTTTGGGGTGAGATTTACATTTAATCGGTGGACTTTGAGCAAAGATGACAGCCCTGCATAAACTGGGCAGGTCTCCTCCAATCCCCTGCAAGCCAGAATAGAACAGAAAGGTGGGCCTCCCGGGCATAAGAGGGAGTTCTGCACTAGACAGCCTCTAGACTCGAACGTCAACGTCTGCTCTGAGCCTCCACCTGATGGCCCACCCTGAGGATTGTGGACTTGTCAGGCTCCATCATCACATGAGTGAATTCCTTAAAATAGATTTATAAATTTATAAATACACATCCTACTGGGTCTCTTTCTCTGGAAAACTCTAATACATGTGGTTTGAGACAACAGAAACCAACAAGGCCTTGCCATAGTGCAGGTGAGCTTAGCCGGGAACGTCTGTCCCACCACTGAGCTTTGTAGACGCAGAACCCACACTTGGACAACTGGTCTATGGTGGGCCTGCTTGGCCCCATCTACTATCCTTTGACAATGTAATGTTTGTAGCCAGAAGATGGTACAACATTGGGTCTAAATAGGCAGCCATTGGGGCGCCTGGGTGGCCCAGACTTCTGGGTGTTTGACCCTTGAATTTGGCTCAGGTCATGATCCCAGGGTGGTGGGATTGAGCCCCTCATATGACTCCAGGCTCGGAGCTCAGTGTGGATTCTCCTTTCTCCCTTGCTCTCTGCTCCTATCCCGCTCATGTGTGCACTCTCTCTGTCTCTCTCTCAGGTAAATAAATAAGTAAAATCTTTTATAAATAAATAAGTAAATAAGTAAGTTGTCCTGGGCTGGCCGGGCCTCTGCACCTCCATCTGGGACTTTAGCGGTTGTAAACCGAACACGTTCACAGCTACAGAAGTCTGGGTTTCTTTCTTCCAAACCTTGAAAGACTTGCTCTTGAAATATCTGCGTCTGACAGAGAGAACCATGTAGAGGCAAAAACACAGGTCTCAAGTGTTCACTGCTTCCTTCTGCATCCGATCCCATCTGTCCATTTCCTACACTTAACTCATCCTGGACAACGATTTCCGCCCTCGGCCGTGCATGCATTCAGCGGACCATCCTCCTCGCTTCCTTCACTCACCAATGCCAGAAAGAAAAAATAAAAAGCACACAACAAACAAAGCTGCTCCTTTCAAGCTTGGGGCTGTGAGGATGGACCGGCAGGAAGGACCAGACTGCCCCAAGTTGCCCTGATCCCACATAGGCGCCAAAGGGATTTGTTCTAAAGCAAGAGGAACGATTTGCATGGCAGAAGCATGACAGTGGTCCCTGCAGGTAGGTGAGCTCCTGAGTATTTGGAGCCTGTAGGACACAGAGACAAAAGCAGCTTCTTTCCTTCCTCTCCTCTTTCAACGAAGTACGGCAGATATCCGTCCCCAGACCTGGAGTCCTCTGCTTCAGATCTTTTTGCTCTTTTTGGTTAACTGGATTTAGGAATTGTTGGTTGGTTGGTTGGTTTGAGGCTTTGAGGAGCGAGGGCTATTTGTTTGGTCTGTGTTAGTTTTATTTAGCTTTGTAGAAGCATAAGGACAGAAAGTCGATACCAGAGCATTTCAGATGAAAAGGTCACGCTCCCATCCCACCTGCTTCTGGTCCCTGCAGGTAATCAGTTTGTTTTCCTGGCCTGTGGCATGCAGCCCTCTTCTCCTAGAAATGATTTTCTCCTATCTCTCAAGTTTCTCCAAGCCCTAAGCTTTAGGGCACCTGTCCTCATATGTCAACGTGCATCAGAATCACCTAGAACCACACACTTAGGTGGTTTTAAATTTTCTAGAAGCCACGCTTAAAAAAAAAAAGTAAAAGGAAGCAGGTAAGATTGATGTTAATAATAATACATTTAGTTAACTTCATATGTCGAAATAAAAATTCAATAAAAAAAATTGAATGCGGCATTCTACATGCCTTCCTCACATCAGGTGGCGAAGTCCAGTGTACCTCACCGGCCACGTTTCAAATGTTCACTTGCCCCAGTAAGGCTAGTGGCCGCCACGCAGGACGGTGCAAGCTGGGGAAGCTTATTCAACCACAGCTTACCGGTTGCCAGACACGGAGTTTCCGGTTTAGGGGCATCTGGGTCTGGGTGGGGCCTGAGAACCCGAGTATCCACAGTGTCACTGCTGGGAGTAGAGCTCCACTGTCCAATGTGGCAACATCCAGCCCCATGGGGCCACAGAGCCTTTGAAAGGTGCCGGGTCTGAGTTGTGCTGCAAGCTTCAGATGCATACAAGATTTTAATGGCTTGATAGAAAAAAAAAAGTAAACATCACTACTTTTATATTGATTATGCCTTGAAATGATAATATTCTTGATATGAGTTACATATGTCATATGTCATTGTATGTGTGTTACATACACATAAGAGTTTTATATTTTTATACATGATTTCATATTTTATAACATAGCATAGAGTAGATTATTAAAGTTAATTTCACCCAGTTCGTGTTATTTTTTAATGTGACTCCTGAAAAATTAAAATCACAGCTGTGGCTTGCCTTTGTGGTTCACATTATGCTGCTATTTGGACGGTGCTGGCCTGGAAGGTCACTAAGAATCATTCCATTGATGGCAACATTTCCCAGAATATGTACCTGAGAACGCGAGTCTCAGAGGTGTTCTCCACCAAAAGATTTCCTTGACTTAGGCAAGTAAGTTTGAGATGCACCCTCTAGGTCCTCCCTCCCTTGAAGATACACATTCATACAGAGGACCCTGCAGAGTCATGTAATGAGAAGGCCTTCCAACCCAGCACTCCCGGATCATTGTAGGTTTCCATCCTGCCCTTGCCCACCCCACAGAACAAGTGTTCCAGGGGACTGATGCTAAGATTGCCTCACCATGCCACCATGGGGAACACGAGCCCTTAGCAGCAAGAGAAGCTGGAGATGCGGCGTGAACACCACATGCGGAATTTATGAGGCTCCGTGGGAAAGCCGCAGAGGGGACGTGATGTCCCTGTTCCAGGTCACTGATGCTCAGGGTCAGACCTAACGGCTGCAGAAGGATTGATGGAGGGACGGACACCCGATCTCATCAGACTAAATCATCTTCGTATCTTCATCACAGCCTGTTTTCCACGGGCCAGAAAATTCCTTAGGGAAGGGAGTGAGAATAAGACGACTTAAATACTCTGCTTTCCACCTGTTTGGTTCCCGGACTTATAACTGTGAATATTTCCACTCAATTAGCAAACTCCTATTTGCCTTCGGAGGCCAAGGCTCTGCGATGTCGATGGTTTGTCTCTGTCCAATTGTCAACCAATGGTAGGAAGTTGGCTATATGCCTCTCTCCAGCGTCTTTTCAGTGGGGTCCTGGTTGTGGGAGGGGGCTTGAAATGAACAGCAAGGGGACTGCCATTAGCACCAACAGATGCTTCTCTGGCCTGGGGACATTAGCCACCTCGGTCACCTGGAGTGACTTCTATGTCCTGGGGGAATCACTTGAGTGGCCTCTCCTTAGCCATGGCCTTGGGGAAGCAGCAGCAGAACCCTCTTTGGTGTCTTAAAATGTCCCGAGACCTAGGTTTCCTCCTGACATGCTGACATAGTCCGTCTGCCCGACCAGGCCCTGCCGCCTCTCCGGAGCCTCTGTCACACTGATCGTGCTCAGTGCAGTGAGACAGACCTTTCTCAGCATCACAGACAGAAGCCAGTAAAAGGATTTTCTCTGCCCGCCATCCCCTGTCAGGTGCAACTTCATGCTCTATCCCGAAGCTGCCACACCACCCCAACGTCTGCCTGAAGTACCTTCAGTGCAGGGAGAAACCTGAGACCCAGAGTGTCTCAGAGGGTCACAAAGAGTATTACTGGGTGGCTGGGAATGGATGAGCCAAGGCCTCATAGATGACCCAGCCGGGAGCCCTACAGGGACCTCCAAGAGACCCCCAAGATCTCTTCCAGTACGTGGGTGGGGGAGCTTCTAAAGCTTTCTACCAGACTCTGGAACAAAAGCTACAAGGATGGTAGAAGTCTGCCTGTAACTTCCTTCTTCTCTTTGGGAGGCAAAAGATAGTTTTCTATATAACCTGCCCATGGAGATATCCATGTAAGAGGAAGGAAGGAAGAAAAGGAGGAAGAGTGAGAAGAAGGGAGGGAGGACAGGACAGAGGGAGGGAGGGAAGCATGATTTTTGATAAATTTTCCTGCTTGAATCACTTCATTTCTGGGATGACCTTGTTTGACCTTGGTTGGGATTTTTAGCATAAAGTCTGAAAGAGCATAGCAGTCTTGACATTACTTGCTTAAGAATGATGTTCTTGATGCATTCGTCTCAACTGTCTGTTCAGAAGGTATAATCATATGCCCCAGGGCTCTGCTGAGGAGCTCCCTTACCACCCCCTGAGGCTCACTGGCAGGCAAGGTTCCCAGGGCTACCTGGCAGGGAAGAGCTGATGCCTGAAGGTGTCCCCACTCCAGCCCTAAGATCAGAGCATAGAAATAGACAATACAGCAAGCCGGACCTGCCAAGCAGGGCAGGGAAGCTGGGAGAACCAACGGCCCCCTTGCAGCCGGGCCAGACACACCAGGGGAGGCAGACCCCCCCACCCCGCCCCCACTCCAGCTACACAGGGTGGCAGCAAGCACTGGCAGCCAAAGCCAGGGTCTGCTCCAAGAGCAGAGAGTCTCAGCTTCCCTCTCCAGGGCACTTTTGAAGCAGCACTGGCCTCTTGGTGAAGGGAGCCCCAAGGCTTGTGGACAACATGGGGAGCAGTGGAGGCCCCTTTTTACTTGCAATAGAAGGGTTTTTCAGCTCTATCTTCAAGACAAGTATGATTGTAATTACTTGCCATTAATGATGAACCTGGAGGATAATAATAGTAAAGTTCTCCTTAGCTCAGGGAAGAGTTCTCCCAGCAGAAAAGGGAAAGAATCCACTTTCTTCCACAAACGTCCCCTTCTCTTGCCGTCCAGCAGCCAGTGAGCTTCCAGCGAGAGCAGTGAGCTCTTGGCTCACTGGAAGCAGTGGCATATTCCTCTTGAACCCCAGCCCTGTGGCCCAAGCTACGGAGAACGACAGTACAGAGGGAATTGATGGTCCGAAGGGCAGGTGAGCCTTGCCCTTCACAGCCCCAACACCCAGAGAAACCACCCAGAGACGTTCTTTAAAACACTTTGCTTTAAAACCAAATAACGAAAACGTGGATGTTTAAAGCCAGCACCCAAGCTCGTCCTTTGGTCTCATTAGGAAGTGTTGGCTGGGGCGGAAATGTGAAAGCATGGGTGAGGGGGATGCGCGGGACAAGAATATGCAAAGATTTCACACCCTGGAATTGCACTGCAACTCTGCCCCCTCAAACACACACTGGAAGAAGTCTTCCAGATTCCTCATGTGCTCCAACCATGCCCCAGGCTCTAGCTCCCACAACTGTGTGCACCCAGACTGTTGAAGCTCCTTCTCGTCCCCACTGCCTCCCCCAGAAGGACAACTTCTCAACTACGCAGCCAGAAGCAGAACAGCAACAGGGGCCACTCTGTGGCCTGAGGAGGCATCAGCAGTTGGGAATGAAAGGCCAGGATCTGGCTTTGCAAACCTGGGACCCCTCCGCGTCACCCAATCTCAGTGTTTCCTCAACTCGGTGCTTGCCTCACGAAGGAGGTGCGTAAGTCCGCCATTAAGGGGCACATTAAGGATGAGCTCATTAGCTGACAAAGCACTGGGTAAGGGTTCTGCCGTGTTGTTATTTTTGAATTGTGACACAAGGCATCATTATGGTTGGCTGTGTCAGCTTTAATGAGGTGCCTCATTAAGCCAAAGGATGCACATTAACACCTGTCCAGGGTTGAGCTTCCGTGGGCACCAGCCATTCTGGGGCACTGGAAGGAACAGCAGCAGGCAGGGCAGGGTCAGGAGCCAAAATGCTAGAAATCATCCAAACACGTCCAAAGACCTCTCCACCTCCCATATCCCCCACCCAGACCCGTTTTCCTGCTCTTTGCAGCAAAGCTCTCGGGAAGAGTTGTCCATGCATAGGCCTCCTGGTCTGCACCTGCCATGTTCTCTGCACCCCATACCACCAACATCTTCTCTTTACCACTCCACCAAATTCACCCTGGTCAAGGTCACTGATGACCTCCCATTGCCAATTCCAATGGCCAGCTGGCTCCTAAGTGTGTTTGTCCTGCCCCAGTCTCATCCCTGGAGCATACACCTTCTACATAGACCAAACAGCCTTCTCCTCATCTCTGCGTGATTGTCTCCTAAGCACCTCAAGCTTGCCTATCCACACTGAACTCATTCGAGGGCCTCATACTCATGGCTCCCCCATCTAGTCCACAGCCGTGAGGGCCAAACTTTCCACCAGTTGGATCAGGCCAAGGCAATCATCTCCCCCTTGATTCCTCTTTCCTCTCCCTCCTCTCATCCAATCCACCAGAAAATCTTGTCAGCCCACCTTCAAATGTATCTAGAATGTGAGCAACTGTCACCCCACCACTAGTACAACAGTCAGAAGCACCCTGGCCTCCTCCAGACCTGTGATGCCTCCATGCCCATGTCCTGTCCATCCAAAAAGATCCAGGGAACATGGACAACAGAGGACATACAGAAGGACCAAAGGATGTCTAAGTTTCAGCTTGGCGTGCTGGTGATGACACCACGACAAGGCATGGAAACATGTGGGTGCTTGTCCTTAAGACAGACACTGAGGTGTCCCAGTAAGGATGCGGTAAGGGAGGAGACAAGCAGGCCCACCAGGGACCATCTTCCTCTTTGTGCGTCTTCTGGAAAGTGAGGCCAGCCAAGAGGGCTGATGTGTTCATAATGGTATTCTTATGTGTTGACCATTTATGAAGTGATTTAGAATAAGGAAAGTGCCTAAGGAAAACATGCTTTATCACGTGGCAGAGTAAAATCTAGAAACACCACAAGGATAAGCATCTGTCAACACGTACGGTAAGAGTTGAAGCAGAAGCTACTGTTGCGACCTGGGGAGCTCTGCAACAGATGCACATGTAAGGCTTCACCATCCGTTGTAGGCTTTCATTTTTGCAAAGAAAAGGAGCAGCAAACTCAATCTGTAAGAATCTGCATGGAAGCGAGAGAAAATGAATTTCACTAATGTATGTAGGTTCTTGCTCATTTCATGAGCAAGGAAGAGAGTGTTACCACGGAGAGCTCCAGTATCACAGTTTAAACACATCCTGAGCTCAAAATGTGGGCTCCCAGCGAAGCAAATTATCACATTTTCAAGAGTCATCACCAGTGGGAAGTAGAGGGAAGCTGATAAATGTGTGAATAGTTTAGAATGAACAGTTTGTCTCTCTGCTCAGAAGTTTATAAATAAAAAAGGGGAAATGAGATCTAGTCGTGTCCTTCCCTATGTGGGCAGTGCTCAGACCACCAATCCCCAAGGTCTCATAGTTGGCCTGGTAAAAATCGGGAAGCATTTCCAAACCTTCCTTTCAACAGCCCAGTCTTACCAAAGCCCACCTCTTCACCATCCTGCCCTTCGTCCTGTGTCATCATCTTACAAATGGCAGTTCCTTTTCCCATCTGGCTTTGGGGGGGCCTCTCCAGAGCCCCTGCCATCAGAGAGCACACCTCAGTCCCAGAGTAAAGGCAGGACAGTTCCTGCTCCTTCTGGCAGAGTGGGATGACAAAGAGGAACAGAATTCAGGAGGGCTTTGGAGGATGGGGAGGTTGTGTTCAGCTACCAGGATACAGGCTGATGGCTTGGAAGAGCTGATGTTTGGATAGGGCCGTGAATGGTTGGGAATGCCAGAGTGGAAGAGGGGTTCCCTGGGAGCCGGGCCAGGATGTGCAGGGGCCAGGGGTAGAAAAGCACACTTAGGGAAAAGTGGTTGTCTGGCCTGCCTGCTGGGTAGTGTAAGGCACAGAGAGAGAGAGAGAGAGAAGGAGGAAAGTTTCTAGAGCAAGGCCAGGCCAGGGCAGAAGAGGTCTTGAATGGCATTCTACTAGGATTTGAACTTGATTCAGAGTCTACAGGCCTCATTTGTTGGCAGCTCCTATCACAGACTGAGCATCACAGAGCTGCTCTCCTCAGGGAGCAAGACCCAGAGACTCCAGAAAGCCCTGTCTTCTGGCAAGGCTCTCATTGCCACATTTCTGGGCTCCCCCAGAGCCCAGCTCAGGGGCATGCAGCGGTTTCTTAGGCAAGACTCAAACTGAGCAGAAATCCTCTTCTCTCCTCCAAAGATGGTAAGTCATCCTATTTCAAGGCTTGACAACATCACTGGACATTTTTACGTCTAGGTGTCAGGCATAAAGGAAAGCCATGGCGGGCCCTCACTGTCCCCAGGAAGGGCACACCCACACAAAAGTGTGGGCCCAGCTGGTGGCATCCTGTGCTCCTCCTAATATCCCAGGACGCGAGGCTGCAGCAGGGCCCCTGGGATGGGAACAGCCACTACAAGAAGTGACTTACCTTCTGCAGCAGCAAATTGTTTGATTATACCGGATGAACCCATGATACTGGATCAAAATTTTCCAGTAAAGTAGAACTAATTATTCCGAGATTATGTTCCAGGTCAGCTTTGCCATTGCTGTATTTAAAATTGGCACTTACGTGAAATCCAAAGGCAAACCCAAGGTCACCGTGAGGTGGGACATGTGTGGAGTAATGTACGTGCCACCAGGCAGACCTTCTGTCTACCACCCTGACTCTGGGTCCTGCAGCTTCCAAACAAACCAGTTTCCTCGTCTCACTCATGCTCATTCATGAGGCTGGATGGACAGACGCCCCTTACCCATCTCCCATCAGTGTCTCAGCTCTAGCAGAAATCCCTGTTGGCTTTCACAGTCCTGCCTCCCCGGAAACGCTCCTTCTAGAGTCATGGGGCAGGCAGCCCCCAGCCGGAATCTACCAGAAGCCCACCTGTACCCCTCCTGCAGATCCAAACAGCCACCCAATGCACCCTCAAATGCTTGCTTTGGCTTCTCCCATCTCCAGCCAGCTCAGCTCAGCACCTGCTCTGCCCAGGGCTTCCCCGAGGCAGCTCTTGACCCTGAGTTGGTTTGACATCATCACCCACGCCTGCATGAGGAGTTTAGAAATGCAGATTTCTTGGCCCCTACTTCGTATGAGGTGGAGCTTCGGAATCATTCCTTTCGGAAGCATCCAGCTGATTCTGACCTCGAGTGGAGCCTGTGAGCCCTGGCCACCCTGGGGATCCCAGCTTCCATGTTCTGTGCTACGAAAATGCAGCATGACCTCCTTCCTTTGTTCTTCAACACGTACGTCTTGAGTAACTTCCCAGGACCAAGGGCTGTGCTGGGTGCAGAGGGGCTGGGGGAGGGGATTTATGAGAAATTAAGAAGACACGAGCTCTGGAATGAGAAAGTTCACCGTCCGTTACAAATAACAGAAATATTAAATATTATATATAAAAATAAATAAAATATTAAAAAACAGAATAAATCATTGTTGTCTGCTGTGAACAGGTCTCCCTTAAAATGAGTGTCCAAGTTCCCATTAGAGCAAAGGAGAGGCTAATCCTTCCTGAAAGTCAAAGGTGACTGCCCAGAGCTGCATCTTGCAGGACCAGCAGACCAAACAGGTAAGAAAGGGGTCATCCATCACCCCAACCTGTTTTCTTCTATACCATCCTTTTCCAGGATTACAAGAGTGGCCATTTTAAGGCTGTCCCATAATTTATAAAAATCAATCTCCCGTTATTGCACATGTAGTTTACTTCCAGTTTTTTTCCTATTGTAAACATATGGCAGCCTTGAAGAATTAAAAATGTTTCCCTCAGGAAAATTCCACAACATCCGATTCCCCCGTCAGAATACTGGGTTTGAAACAAAAACAAAACAAAACAACAACAACAACAACAAAACCTTGTGTCATTTTTTAAAGGTGAAAATTTAATTACTCCTTTATTTTTCTAAAAAAGTTTTATTTATTTGATAGAGAACACAAGCAGGGGGAGCAGCAGACAGAGGGAGAGGGAGAAGCAGACTCTCCACTGCAGAAGCCCCATGCCGGACTCAATCCCAGGACCCTGGGATCATAACCTGAGCCCAAGGCAGCCGCTTCACCAACTGAGCCACCCAGGTGCCCCTGATTATTATTTTAATTCTATGCCTAATATTAATAAAGAAGTACTTTAAAAAATATTGGGTGTGTGTTGTAATGAGCACTGGGTATTACATAAGACCAGTACCCCTGAAACAAATTATACATTATATGTTAATTAATTGAATTTAAGTTAAAAAAATAAAATTTAAAAAAAATGTAAAACATTTAACACAAGGTAAAAGCAAAATTTATTGGCGGGGCTCCTGGGTGGCTCAGTCTGTTGAGCATCCGACTTTTGGTCTCAGCTCAGATCATGATCTCAGGGTCCTAAGATCGAGCCCCACATCAGGCCCCCTGCTCAGTGGGGAGTCTGCTTGAGATTCTCTCTCTGTTCCTCTCCCTCTGCCCCTTCCCCTGCTTGCTTGCACTCTCTCTCTCACTCAAATGAATAAATAAATAAATAAAATATTTATAAACATATATTTATTGGAAATTTTTAATTCTTCTTTTGAGAATTTTACTTGTCTTTGTCTACTGTAGTGTTTGCCTTTTTCTTACTGACTTCAAAGAATTTTTTAATCTTGTAAAAATATTGACCCTTTATTACATATAGGAAATATATAGATTGGAAATTCTCTTAATTTCTTGGTCATCTTTTATTTTTGAATAGGACGTGTTTGGGGATGGGATACTAAAGTCTTCTGCAGAGTAAAACCTAGCAATATTTGGCTTTTATGATTTCTGCTTTGGGTGGTCGTATCCCATTGCTGAATTACATATTTAACCTGCTATGTATTTAATAGCTTCTGCTACGTTGCCTCATATTTTATGTTCTATCTGTATGTAGTGTAATTAAATACTGATTGAATCTGTTCTTAAAGGGCTGTTTCCAGGGCATCGATTTTTTTTGTGATGATATAGGAAGCAGTTGGTGTTCAGAGGAACCTATCATCCTACAAAATGAAAAACTGGCTCCTGCTTTACAGGCAGGTTCCACTCGAGCATCCCTTCCAGCAGCTACAATAATTGTCATTAAAGAACACGTGCCTAAGCCACTCAGCCTAGCAGAAGATTTGTCCTTCTCTTCGAAGGCCATCTTCATCCACTTGCCTTTCTCCTAAGAATTCCAAACTCAGCTTCTTTTGCTGTACCCTAGTCGTTCCCAAAGCGTGGCCCCTGGAGCAACAGCATCAACCAGGAGCCTGTTAGTAATGCCAGTTCTCGGGCCCCACCCCAGACCTACCAAGTCAGAATTTCTGGGGTTGGGGCCCACATGGGCTGAAGCTTGGGGACCATTATTTTGCATCATCTTGTGAAAATGTTCAAATCATTCTCTCTGATTGCTTGTGAGCTCTAGACTCACACACTAACCCCCCCCCACAAGATATCCCCTTTTTTGACATCTCTCAGGGACCTGGACTCCACACATGGAAATAATGTCATCTTTGTGTCTTCCCCCAGCCCTACCCTGCCCCCCACTTCCATCATTACCTCTCTCCATGAACAGCACCCCCACTCTGCCCTTCTTTCTAGGTTCTGCTCATACCTCACATTCCCATGGGTCCTGCCCATCCCTGTTCCCAAAACTACCCCCGTCACCCACCTCACCCCTCTCCCCACCGCCCTTCCCCCGCCGATCTTTCTTCCCATAACACCAGCCACCTTCTACCTATTCACCCGATCACCGTGTTCAGTGTCTGTTGTCTGTCTAGAATGGAATATCCACGAAGGAGGGGTCTTTGTGTGGTTCACTGTGTACCCCAAGCGTCCAGAGTAATGCCTGCCACATCAGAAGCATTCCTTAAATATTTAGATGAATGAATGAATGAATCTATTTAAGTCAGTCCACTTCGCTCACATGCTTATCGTGTTAAGTCAGACTTGGAAAGATGACTACGGCATGACTTCATGAGTTTCACAATCTATTGCTGAGTGGAAAAGTAGATGATAGAACACTGTGCTTAGTAAAATCACCTTTGTTTGCAATGTGCGTGCATAGACACTATGTGTGCGTGGTGACATCCAGCAGGAAAGTCACCAACACATCTGAATGAGTGCCTTCTGGTGATCTCATTCACACCTCCACCTCCCGCATGCAGGTTTCAAGCTGCTGGTCACACCCACCTGCCAAACCCAGATAAATCCTACGTCCAGAACCTCAGCGGCGGCATCTTGTCACCTCCTTTAGCAAACTCACTCTCTACGCCCTTGTTTCCTTCAGGTTCTCCCCTTCCTCCCAGCATGTCCTCCTCCACCTCCCCCAGCCCTCCCTCCAGCTCCCTGGCCTCATCCCCTACCTCTCACCTGCACCGGCCTCTCGAATGCCAGCCTTTTCTCGGGCCTCAACCCAATACTCCTGTTTTTTCCTGGGAAAACCCGTTCTCACTCTTCTTGCTGTGTTGTTCTTCCTGATGAAGTTTATGATCAAACAGCTCAACTCCTGTAAAAGAAACAAACTAAAAACGGTGGGTATGTTTGCTGGGATTATGTGACCTGTATAACCTAATAGGTAAAATCATTTTCTGTTCGAGCATGTGTGTGTCTCTCCATGTGTTTGAGTTATGCTCCTGTTTTAGCTTTTATAGTTTTCTCCGGGCAGGTTTGAGGCATTTCTTGAGTTTATTTAGCTGTTGTATTTTCTTCTTTGCTCTCATGCTGGATTTTCTCTCCTTTTATATCATTTGTCTTATTTGTATATAAAGGGATTGAGATAGATAGATATCAATATATACATTGAGGAAAACCATAATATATATAAACAATGTATACATTGACACATACAACAATATATACTATATATACATATATATTTTTTAATTTCATAAGTGGCTACGTAACTAAGTTCTCTTTTTTATGGCTTTTCCACCAGCTATTTCATGTTTTCCCGATATATAAGCATATCCTTTACAAATAGAGAATGTTTCAGTTTTTCCTTCTAGTACTAATGCCTTTTATTGTTTTCCCTTGTCAAAATGCATGGACCAGTCATTGCAGTGTCGTTAAATAACAGTGAAAACAGAGGGCGTATTTGTCTTATTGTTCCCTTTAATGGGAAATCCTCACATGTTTTCTGATTAAGGAAGGTGCTAGTCTGGGGCCTGAGATACAATATTTTTATTAAGAAAGTATCCATGAAATCCAACTTTATTAAGTAGATATTGCCTTTTGTCAAACTCTTTGTTTTATGACATCTTTGGAGATGACTTTTATACTTTTACCCTTATTTCTATTAACATAATAGATTATATTAATGGGTTTCTTAATACGGACTCAAACCTCACTGTATTTGTTGAATTATTATTGGTGGTAACAAATCATCCCAGAACTTAATGGCTTAAAATAATAATGAAAATTTATTTTCTCATAGTTTCTCCTTTTTAAAGATTTATTTATTTATTTGAGAGAGAAAGAGAGTGGAAGAGCATGCATGTGAGCAGGGGGTTGGTGCAGAGAGGGGCAGAGGAAGAAATTCTCAAGTAGACTCCTTGCTGAGCGTGGAGCCCAACGAGGG